CCTCTCTGCCTTCTCATCTCACCCCGGACAGAAGCTGCCCATTTGGTCTCATGTATCTACTTGAGCTAAGAAGCAGACTCTTCACGAGTATCTCTTTATGTCCCACAGTCCAGTCCAATCCCTGTCTGAAGAGTTGGCCTCGGAAGTTATTTTAGTTCTGGCAGACTGTTTTTATAAACAAACTTTTCCTGGCCCCTGGCCAGGCCCCTTCTCTTGCACACTGTCTGTAACTGCTTTCACGCTATAGTGGCCCTCCAAGAACGTTAGCCGGCGTTTCTGATTAAATCTTCCTAGAAGGATAAGTGACTTCAGACGGATTAAGCACTGCCCTGGCTCGGAGGATCGCTAAGACCGGTAATCTTAAACCAGTGGCCGTCGAGTCACCCCTGACTCATGGTGACCCCCCATGTGTCAGAGTAGAACTGCGCTCCATAGGGTTTGCAGTGGCTGATTTTTCAGAAGTAGATCTCCAGGCCTCTCTTCCAAGGCACCTCTGGGTGGACTCAAACCTCCAACATTTTGGCCAGCAGCACCAAGTGCTTAACTGTTGTGCCACCGAGAGAATCCACAGCCGTCTTACTCAGTTCTATTTTTTTCCCAAGACTCAACAGCGGCCCCGCTAGGAAATTCTCAGTAAACATTTGAAGAAATAAAGGGGCTTGTTCACAGTTAGGCAAGACAGGGTTTGTTCTCTCTCTTTCTGGCGAGGAAGCCAAGACCCAGAGAGAAATGACTTCCCCCGAGGAATGTGATCGTGCAGCTCTGAGCTTGACGTAATCTAACGTTTTCTTGAGTCCACACAAATCAAATGCTGCTGGATGCTGGGGACTCAGGAAAGGCAGACTTTCCAAGGACTCACAGTCCAGTAGGAAAACAGGTCCATGTTGTTGTTAGCTGCTGTGCCGTTGGTCTCCGACTCGTGGCGACCCCATGCCCAACAGAATGAAATGCTGCCCAGTCCTGCGCCGTCCCCACAATTGGATGTGGTTCCAACCATTGTGATCCACAGGGTTTTCATTGGCTGGTTTTTGAGAAGTAGATTGCCAGGCCTTTCTTCCTGGTCTGTCTTAGTCTGGATGCTCTGCTGAAACCTGTCCACCATGAGTGACCCGGCTGGTATTTGAAGTATTGTTGGCACAGCTTCCAGCATCACAGCAACACACAAGCCACCACAGCATGACAGACTGTCGGGGCGGTGGTGATGGATACCTGGTGTTATCCTAAAATGGGAGAGAGCTACAGAGCACCCAGCTTTCATCCACTTGCTCTTTATGAAGAAAATCCACTTGCTGTGTGTTTAAGACAGAGGTGGGCAGAGCATTTACAAGAGAGTGAGCAGAGACAGGGCATCCCTGGATGGTGCAAACACTTAACACGCTGGGCTGCTGACCACAAGTCTGCCTAGAGGCACCTCGGAAGAAAGGCCTGACTGTCTACTTCCAAATAACCAGCCGTAGAAAACCCTGTGGCACATAGTTCTACTCGGATCTCGTGGGGTCGCCATGAGTCGGAGCCGACTCCCTGGCAGCTGTCGGGGCAGAGGGGGCGGTCCTTCAGAAGAAGGCGCGTCACTCATTTTGTACCATGTACTGTTTTTTCAGCAGGCAGTTCTGGCCAGAAAAGAAAAGGAGTATTTGTTTAGATGATAGAATGAAAAGATGGACGCGGGGTTGTAGACCCGGGGCTGAAAGGGATCATGGAGACTAGCGCAGAGGCAGAGGGGGAGCCAGCCGGGCCCAGGCGCCCCTCAGGCCAGTGTCTGCCCAGGCCTCTGGCTTTTGGGTCCTTTGCCCTTTAGGGCAGGGCCCTGGGGGTGGCTTCTGACAGCTCTCAAAGCACTCTCTGTTGAGAGAAAGCAGGGGCCTTTGGGAATTCTGCCCAGCAGCCAGCACCCTGCACATCGTGACTGTTGGAAGATGCAGGTGCCTGGTGGCCTTTGGGAAGTGCTGTCCTCGTGTTAACCACGCTGGCGAGTGGAACACGCGTTCGCCTGAGAAGCTCTGTGTTGTCACAAGGTTTGTGTGCTGCTTTCTGTCCTCCCCTGCTCCCTGTGCTTAGAAGCCGCAGTGCTTAGAGGCCCCGCGGTTCACATACAGGGCAGGGTCCTTCACTGACCTGAGGTCTGGGGTTCTCGGCGGATTGGGGGCATGGTGGTTCAGTGGTAGAATTCTCACCTTCGTGCGGGAGACCTGGGTTCAATTCCTGGCCAGTGCACCTCACGCACAGCCACCACCTGTCCGTCCGTGGGGGCTGCATGTTTCTGGGATGCTGAACAGGTTTCAGCAGAGCTTCCAGACTAAGACGGACTAGGAAGAAAGGCCTGGTGATCGACTTCCGAAAATAAGCCAGTGAAAATCCTGTGGATCACAGTGGTCTGATATGCAGCCGATCGTGGGGATGGCACAGGACCAGGCAGCATGTCGTTCTGTGGTACACGGGGTCATCATAGCCCCTTGTCTGCAGTTTTGAAATCCAGATGCTTCCCGTACAGATGGAGTTTTTTGTAAGTTCACAGCAAAGTTGTTTGGCCAGGTAACCTGATTTGTATTGATGTTAACATGCAAGTGGTTAACATGCTCCGCTGCTAACAGAAAGGTTGGAGGTTCGAGTCCACAGAGGGACCTTTGAAGAAAGGCCTGGCAATCTACTTGGAAAAATTCAGTCATTGAAAACCCTGTGGAGCACAGTTCCCGTCTGACACACGTGGGGGCGCTGTGAGTCAGAGTCAATGCCACGGCACCCGGCGGCAGTGGTGGTGTCCGAGAACCGTCGCTGTTCCCATGCAGTGCATATCAGTGGTTCCCAGTATGGGGTGGTTTTCTGATGTCCGGGGACATTTGTGGTTGTCACAACTGGGCGGGGTGCTACTGGCATCAGGTGGCTGGAGGCCAGGGGTGCTGCTCAACACCTACAGTGCACAGGACACCCCACCCTAGAGAATGGTCTGGCCCCAAATTTCAGCACTGCTGAGGGGGAATATCCCTGCACTAATTATTTGGGGAAAAAGATTGAATTTGGTCCCTGTACACACTGTACACCAGAATTAAACTGCTGATGGGTCAGCTGGTGTAAACCAGGGCCCTCCAGCTCCTGTGATTTCCCTCCTTTCTCCTCCCAGCTCAGTGTGGGGATTTAAATGTGGGCAGCATCCTGGGACTTTCTTCTATAATGCCGCTGGGGGAGTTTGAACTGACAACCATTAGGTTACTAGTTTAGTGCAAACTGTTGGCACTCGCTACCTAGAGACCTAAGGCCCGTCACCAAAAAACCCAAACCTACTGCCCTTGAGTCGATTTCGGCTCATAGCGATTCCACGGAGTAGAACTGCCCCCTAGGGTTTCCAAGGCCGTAAATCTCTATGGAGGCAGACTACTACATCTTTCTCCCGCGGAGCTGCTGGTGGTTTCGAACCGCTGACCTTTCTGTTAGCAGTCGATTGCTTTAACCACTGTGCCACCAGGGCTCCTTGAGGCCCGTCACACACCCTCCAGGTTCCCATTGTTGGATTCAAATGATTAACCAATCTGCTTGTTCCCATTAGTTAGAAATAAAAGCCCCTGTTAACCAAACCTTGGTTGAGCTTCTCTCTGCCCCTAGGGCTCTGTGCCTTGGCCCACCCTCGGCCTGAGCCAGTAAGGAACGCCTCCGTGAGGACCCGCCAGGGAACAGCTGGCCTCGGCATGAAACCCGCTCTGATTTGCTGTCTGATGATGCAGCCCTTCCGTCTCCCGTCCCACAGCTGAGTTCTTTGAGCCTTGCTTTCTCCCAGCTCTGTCAGAGAAGAACACATTTCACCCGATTCAATCTTGAGACGCTTGTTGGCCTTAAGGTTGGGGTGTACTCCCTGCTGTACTAGTTCCTTCTGCCTTCAATAAGTGAATAAATCCCTCCCTATTTAAGTCCGCAGTCCCTGGCGGGTGGCGCAGATGGTGAACATGCTCAGCTGCTAACCGAAATGTTGGAGGTTTGAGTCTACCTAGAGGTGCCTCAGAAGAAAGTCCTGGCGATCTACTTCCAAAAAGTCAGCCATAGAAAACCCTGTGGAGCACAGTTCTACTGTGACACGCATGGGGTCTCGCCGTGAGTTGGAATCAACTCAACAGCAGCTGGTTGTAACACTTAGAGAGGCAGTGGTGGTTCGGTGCTAGAATTCTCGCCTCTCCTGCGGGAGGCCCGAGTTCAATTCCTAGCCACGGCACCTCGTGTGCAGCCACCACCCGGCTCTCCGTGCAGGTTTGCGTGTTGCTGTGATGCTGAACAGGTTTCAGCAGAGCTTCCAGACTAAGAGGGACTAGGAAGAAAGGTCTGGCGATCCACTTCCGAAAATCAGCCAGTGAAAACCCTGTGGATCCCAGTGGTCCGATCCCCAGCCGATCATGGGATGGTGCAGGAGCGGGCAGCGTTTGTTCTGAGATGTGTGGCGTCACCATGATTTGGGGCTGACTCGGTGGCAGCTAACCAACAACAGCGAAGCCACGCGAGGGCTGGGGTTGCAGAGCTCTGTGCCGCCTCGGGGGGTTGTTGGTCTCTTGGGGCCCCCATGCCCATGTTGCCCACGCAGCACGGCACCCCTTCTGGTCAGGGAGCGTGACAAGTGCTGTGACAGCCGTGCCGCTGCGCCTGCCCGGGAGGCCGAGAGGACCTCCCCTCAGAGCCAGGCGAGCACAGAGGAGGGGCCGGGCTGCGTGGGGCATCCGCTGGGAGCAGCGGCTCACACTGACGGAGGTGAGTGAGCGCCAGGCCCGTCGGGGGATCGGGGGTCCAGGGCGTCTGCAGGGTGCAGAATGAGGGGTGGGAGCAGCAGGCGCAGGGAGGGGCCCACGGGGCTGAGCATCGTTCATACTGCGTCTGTTTCTTGGTCCCTGGGCCTCACGTTCTTAAGGCGTCCTGGTAGCACAGCGGTTAAACACTCAGCTGCTAACTGAAAGGTTGGCAGTTCAGACCCACTCATCGGCTCTGTGGGAGAGACTGGCAATCTGCTTGCATAAAGATTACAGGCTAGGAAACCCCACGGGGCTGTTCTGTTCTGTCACGTGGGGTCGCCAGGAGTCAGAACCGACTAGATGGTGCCCAGTAACAGCAACCCTCACGCTCTGGGCTCTGCCCCACAGTCCTGACACCCCCGGCGCCGTCCGTCCCCGTTCACCATGGACAACAAGAAGCGCCTGGCCTACGCCATCGTCCAGTTCCTGCACGACCAGCTCCGGCACGGTGGGCTCTCGTCCGACGCCCAGGAGAGCTTGGAAGGTGTGCGCACCCCACCTGCCTCCCTGTCCTCCCCAGGGGCCTGGTCAACCCCCACCGCTGGGCTCGGCTTTAGGGGCTCAGAGAGCTGCCCCTCCCGCCTCGCCCCCTCCCTCTCACCCTGGTTTCTGACTCCAGCTCGGGGTCCCCTGGACCAAGAGGGCTCCGCACACAAAGGAGGCTGGGGCTGGTGTCCTGGGGCAGAACCGAGCTTCTGGAATGCTGGGGTGGGGGAAGCGGTGTTTGGCCGGGCAGCCCCCACACCCGGGAGTCTGCTGGGTGGGTGGGTCAGGGAGCGAGGCTACAAGTGTTCATCACTGATGGGAACGAGAGGAGTTAGAACCAGGAGCTTTGTGGACATGTTGGTGCGCGACGCGTCCAGCGCCTCTGAGTCCAACTCAGGAACGGGCAACAGCCCTGCCCAGGACCCTCGAGGATGTGGGGTCAGACTCACGTCCAACGCAGGCTCAGTGCCTCCAACGGCGGTGACTCTGTGCCCCTTCCAGTGGCAATCCAGTGCCTGGAGACCGCATTTGGAGTGACAGTAGAAGACCGTGACCTGGCGCTGCCTCAGACTCTTCCAGAAATATTTGAAGCAGCCGCCACGGGCAAGGTAAGCTTCCGAGGCCCCACGCCCCCGCCTCCTGCAGCGGCAGTCACACGTGTCAGGTGCGCCGAGTGCTGTCAGTGCTTCGCCTGCCTCTCTCATCATCGGGCGCCGCGCGGCGGTGGGACACCGGCTGTCAGCCTCATCTTGCCGGTGGGGAATGCAGATGCAGCGCTGGGCTCACCCACCAGGGGTCCCTCCCGGGAACCCAGCTGCCAGGCTTGGCACCTCCCCTTTGGAGCTGGGCTGTCCTCCCGACGTATCCCTCGGGGCACAGGGTGGTTGTGGTTGGGAGCTTCGGACAGCGGGGTCATCCGCTGCTCCTCAGAGCGCCTGCCTTTCCCTTCGGCACCAGGAGATGCCACAGGACCGGAGGAGCCCTGAGCGGACCCCACCCTCCGAGGAGGACTTGGCAGAGGCAGAGCGCCTCAAGACAGAAGGTAAGTGAGAGACTGTCCTCCTTTCCCAGGGGCATCCTGCCCGGCGTCCCGTGTGGGAAGGAGAGTGGACACAGGTGGTCCCTGAGTGCAGCAGCATCGGGGCCCGGGGAGCGTTTGAAAACAGACGTGTGGTGTAGAGGGATCGGACCCTTGTGTGCTGCTGGTGGGACCGTGACGGGGGCGGCCGCTGTGTAAAACAGGGTGGCGGTTCCTCAAACGTTAAATATCGAAGTGCCACATCATTAGGATTTTCAACTCATGACGACCCCATGCAACAGAGTAGGGTTTTCTAGGCAGTAATCTTTGTGGGAGCAGATCGCCAGGTTTTTCTCCCGTGAAGCCGCTGGGTGGGTTTGAACCGCTGACCTGTTGGTTAGTAGCCGAGCACTTAACCGTTTGTGCCACCAGCGCTCCTAAAAATGCCATGTGACCCGGTGATTCCACTCCTAGGTATGTACCCAAGAGAGTTGAAAGCAGGGACTCACAGACATGTACACCAGTGTTCACTGCAGCCAGAAGGTGGGAACAACCCAGGTGTCCGCCAGCAGCTGATGGGTGACCAGTGTGGTCCATCCACACAGTGGAATGTTATTACTCAGCCATGAAGAGGAGTGAGGTCCTGGGACACGCTACAGCATGGACAAACCTTGAAAGTGTGCTTAGTGAGAGAAGCAGACCCAAAAGGAAAAACGCTTATTGTATGGTTTCACTTACATGAACTATGTAGGACACGCAGGTATCCAGACAGCAGTTGGCTGGTGGTTACCAGGGCCTGGGAGAGGAGGAGACGGGGGCTCCTTGCTTGGGGGATGTGGAGGTGTTCTTGTTCTCAGTTTGTTTTTTATTTTATTGTTTTAGGTGGACGTTTGCAGTGCAGATAAGTTTCTCATTCAAAAATTTATATGCAGGTTGTTTTGTGACATTAGTTGCAATCCCCACAATGTGTCAGCGCTCTCCCCCTGTCCACCTGGGGTTCCTTGTGTCTGTCTGTCCAGTTTTCCTGTCCCTCCCTGCCTTCTCATCTTTGCTGTTGGGCAGGGGTTGCCCATTGGGTCTCCTACACTTGATTGAACTAAAAGCACGTTCCTCACATGTGTTATTGTCTGTTCTGTAGGCCTGTCTAATGCAAAAAGGTGAACTTTGGGAGTTTCTTCACTTCTGAGTTAGCAGGGTGTCTGGGGGCCATGGTCTCGGGGGTTCTTCCAGTCTCTGTCAGACCATTAAGTCTGGTCTTTTTTGTGAATTTGAATTTTGTTCTGCATTTTTCTCGTACTCTGTGTGGAACCTTCTGATTGTTGTCAGAACGGTTGGTGGTGGTAGCCAGGCACCATCTAGTTCTTCTGGGCTCAGGCTGGTGGAGGCTGTGGTTCGTTAGTCCTTTGGATTAATATTTTCCTCGTGTCTTTGATTTTCCTCATTCTGCTTTGCTCCAGATGGGATGGGGCCAATTGACGTATCTTAGATGGCCACTTGAGAGCTTTTAAGACTCCAGACACTGTTCACCAAAGTAGGATGTAGAACGTTTTCTTTCTGAACTATGTTACGCCAGTTGACCTAGATGTCCCGCGAGACTATGGTCCCCAGCCCTCAGCCCCGGTAACTTGGTCCCTCAAGGTGTTTGGACGTGTCTGGGAAGCTTCTGTGACTTAGCCTTGGTCAAGTTGTGCTGACCCTTTCTATATTGTGTGTTGTCTTTACCTCCACCAACGTTAACACTTGTCTACTAACTGGTTAGTGATTTCCCCTCCCACCCTTCCCTCCCCTCTAACCATCAAAGATTGTTTTTTTTTTCTGAGTGTAAACCTTTTTTGGGGTTTTTGTAATAGTGGTCTCATACAGTATTTGTGCTTTTGTGATTGACTTGTTGTGCTCAGCACAATGCCCTCCAGATTCATCCGTGTTGTGAGATGTTTCACAGATTGATCATTGTTCTGTATTTTTACATAGTATTCCATTGTGTGTATGTACTGTTTATCCGTTCTTCTGTTGATCTGCACCTGGGTTTTTCCCGTCTTTTTGCTATTATGAATAGCGCTACAGTGAACAGGGGTGCGCATACATCTATTCGTGTGATGGCTCTTATTTCTCTAGCATATATTCGTAGGAGTGGGGTTGCTGGATCGTGTGATATTTCTATTTCTAGCTTTCTAAGGAGGCGCCATGTGGTTTTCCATAGTGGTTGTACCATTTTACATTCCCACCAGCAGTGCATAAGAGTTCCAGTCTCCCTGCAATCTCTCCAGCATTTGTTATTTTCTGTTGTTTTGATTAGTGCTAGTAATGTCAGGGCGAGATGGTATCCCACTGCAGTTTCGATTTGCATTTTTTTGACGGCTAGTGATTGCAAGCGTTTCCTCATGTGTCTGTTAGCTGCCTGAATGTCTTCTTTGGTGAAGTGTCTGTTCAGCTCCTTTGCTCAGTTTTTAATCGCAGGGATACTGAGTTTTTGTTAACTGTGTCAGAATAACTTGGAAACGGATAGCAATGATGGGCACAACACGAATGTAACGGCTTGCTGAGTTGTACACGTGAAGAACGTTTAAGAGGCCAACAGTGTGTTACACACGGATCTGTTGTTGTTGGGAGCCGTGGAGTCTTTCCGACTCACGGCGACCCCGTGTGTGCAGAGTAGAACTGCTCCATAGGGTTTTCAGGGCTGTGACCTTTCGGAAGCAGATCGCCAGGCTTGTGTCCTCAGGAGCCTCTGGGTGGGTTTGAACTGCCAGCCTTTTAGCTAATAGCCAAGTGCTTAACCATTTGCGCTACCCAGGGCCTCCTACAAATACATTCACAATAATTTAAATAAAAACACACACAAGCCCAGAGGGTCTGGGAACAAGGCCGTCCTTCCACTTAGGCAGGTCTGATGTGAATGGCCTGGCGTCAGGTCTTGTTCTGTCTCCATAGGAAACGAGCAGATGAAAGTCGAAAACTTCGAAGCAGCCGTCCACTTCTACGGAAAGGCCATCGAGCTCAACCCCGCCAACGCCGTCTATTTCTGTAACAGGTGCGGCTCGGGGCCACGCGGGGCGGGTGGGATAAGAGGGTCGCTCTTCCTCCGAGTGAAATGAGGAACTGCAGGTGCTTCGCAGGACCCGAGGTGGGAACCGCGTCTGCGCCCGGGTTCAGTGATTCCAAATGACCGACCGACAGGCGCCTGGAGGCCATGAGCAGAGTGGGCGGGGGCGTTACAACGTGGCACAGCTCCCCACGTGGAACAGCAAACCTAGAATGTCATCCGAAATCGGGGCGATGTTTCGTAAATTCTTTAGACTGATGATAACGTTGCTGTCGAGTCGACCCCGACTCCTGGCGACCCCGCGTGTGTCAGAGTAGAACTGCGCTTCACGGGGTTTTCTTTTTTAGGGGGCAGTGCAAATAAATGAATATTTTAATGTCATAATTCAATAGTTAAGAATATCGATAGCTTTGAAAAGTAATAACGTGGGACTGAATGATGCAGTTTTCAGTTGTTACCATGTGCCGTCAAGTCGATTTCCGACTCCTAGTGACCCCGTGTGACAGAGGAGAACTGCCCCATAGGGTTTCCTAGGCTGTCATCTTTACGGGAGCAGATCGCCAGGTCTTTCTCCCTGGGAGCCGCTGGGTGGGTTTGAACCACCAACCAACATTTCGGTTAGCAGTCGAACATTTAACTGTTGTGCCACCAGAGCTTCTTAATTAAAATGTAGAAGTCAACAGTCCTCAGAGAATTCGTAGAGAACCTGAAGACCGTCTTGCCTAGGATTTGGCAAACTTTTTCTGTAAAGGGCCCCAGAGTCAATATTTTCAGCTTTGCGGGATTTTAGCACAAATGCATAGATGTGGCATACATAAATGAACGCGTGTGGCTGTGTGCCAATAAAACTTTATTTGCAAACACAGGCAGCGGGCTGGAACTGGCCCACAGGCTGTACTTTGCCAGTTCCTGACCCAAAAGAGGAGTCTGCAGACCCTAATTTGGGAGGTGCGGGCGTGGCATCTATCCAGCCCCACTCGCTGGGTTCCCCTCAGAGTTTGGGGCTCTGCTTGTTTGCTCTGTGAATGCCCATCTGGGGTCCTTTCACTTTGATTCTTAGCCAGGAGCAGGCAGCCGCTCTCAGGCCCACAGTGTTTGCCATGGTCAGATGGCGAGCTGGCGCCACATAGTCCGTTGGCACTGGGTGGGGGTCACAGCTATGCAGCATCAGCCACCTGCCTCTGCCTCCTCCAGCCTGGATTCGATGGCATCCTCCCAGCAGCACCAGCACAAAGGCGTATGACGGATGGGATCCATTGCTGCAGCTAGCAGCCACCTACCCGGATGGCACCTGCCATGCCTCTGGGCACCCCACATTGTTATTGCTGTTGTTAGCTGCTGTCTGGTCGATTCCACTCACGGCAACCTTATACACCGTGGAACGACGCTGCCCTGTCCTGCGTCGTCCTCACAATGGTTCTCAGGTTCCAGTCCACCCCATCAGGGGCCACCCTCGCTGGCTCTGCTTGGCCAGACACGATGTCCTCCTGCAGCGATTGGGCCCTCCTGATGACACGCCCGTAGCAAGCCAGTCGGACAGTGTTCTCTTGTGCTCCATAAGGTTTTCCTTCACCGGGCCTTTCTTCCTAGTCTCTCCTAGTCTGGAGGCTCTGCTGAAGCCTGTCCATGGGTTACCCTAGTATTTGAATACCGGTGGCATAGATTCACGCATCACAGTGCACACAAGCCACCCCAGGACAGCAGACTCCCCCCATTTTACAGATGAGGAAACCGAGGCTCACCACCAGCGGCTCCTCTTTGCCGGCGAGGAAGGAGCTCCGCTCCCCTCAGGGCCGCCTGCCCTGCACAGAGCCCGGCTGAGGGGTTGGCACTGCCTCTTTCCCCAGGGCCGCCGCCTACAGCAAGCTGGGGAACTACGCGGGGGCCGTGCAGGACTGTGAACGTGCCATCTGCATAGACCCGTCCTACAGCAAGGCCTACGGCCGCATGGGGTGAGTGCGTGGCCACCAGCCAGCCGGCCGGTGCCTGAGGGGCAGGGAGGGCCCTTGCAGGCGGAGCCCTCAGGCCGTGGCAGAGCGGGCCTGGATCCGTCCGCAGGGTGGCACCCGACCCCTGCACCTGGCCCTCCTGGTCCCAGCTCCTCAGTGGCCTGTTCCCGGCTTGTCTCTCAGAGATTAATGATAGTCAGCCATTTTCCAGCGTTCACAGCTGTTTCCAGTGTGGTTCTGTCAGGAGAGAAAGAGGGTGTGACGGGTGTGGGGAGGGATGCCCCAGCTCCACCTGTGTCTCAGCGCGCCCACTCCTGGTGCCCCCAGCCTGGCGCTCTCCAGCCTGAACAAGCACTCGGAAGCCGTGGCCCACTACAGGAGGGCCCTGGAGCTGGACCCTGACAATGAGACCTACAAGTCGAACCTCAAGATCGCAGAGCTGAAGTTGAGGGAGGTGCCCAGCCCGGTGAGTTTGCCTACCGGGGGTCTTTGTCCTGACAGCGCGTAGGGTGGGCCAGGCCGTGCTTTCACGGGACACAGGCCAGGGGCCAGGCTCACCCTCCCTTTCTGAATGTCCCTTGGTGGCCCGCACCAAGGCCCGGTGCCTTGAGAAACACTGCAGGCCCGGCTGCTGGGGGTTGGCAGAGTGTCTGGCGCCTTTAAATGACTCAGGTGGACAGGCCTGGTCCGCTGTCTGGGAGCCACTAAAGGGGCTGCTCGCCTTTCTGCTCCTCACAGACGGGCAGCGTCGGCACCTTCGACATCGCTGGCCTGCTGAACAACCCGAGCTTCATGAGCATGGTAAGGCCACCGCCACCTGCCCCACCTGCCTCACCTGCCCCAAGCTCACCCACATCGCGGGCTGCGCCGTCTCTCCCACTCAGCACCGTTGACATTTGCAGCCAGATCCTTCTCTGGGGAGGGGCCGTCCTGTGCGCTTAGGGTGTTGAACAGCATCCCTGGCCTCCACCTTCCCCTCCAGTTGTGACACCCCCAAATGTATCTACTTGTTGGGGAAACACCAGGTGTCCCCTGGGGGCAGAATCGTCCCAGGTGAGAGCCCCTGGGTTAGGGGATTCCCTGACCCCCAAGAGACTCTGTGTGCCTTAATCATCTGACCTACCGATGTCCTAGAACGCTGCCCACATTCAGATCCACACACTGAGTGGAGACGAGAGAGGAGGGGAATCACAGATTGATTCAGATGAGAAACTACACGTTAGAAATGACGTGGCAGGACGCTTTCTTTTTCCGACAAACCTCTTCTTTCCTCCAGGCATCAAACCTAATGAACAACCCCCAAGTCCAGCAGCTGTGAGTGGCCGTCTATTCTCCTTTGCTTCTCCCGGGATTGTCTTCACACAGCGTCTCCCCCTCGGCACTGCTCTGGGGCGGGGGCGTCCTGTGCACTGTAGGGTGTTGAGCAGCATCCCTGGTCTCCACCCCCTCGATGCCTGTAGTGTTCCCCGCCCCCCAGTCATGAGAACCACAAATGTCCCCAGACATGGACCAGTGTCCCCTGGGGCAGCGCCGTCCCGGGGAAGCACCCCTGGTGGGGGTCCCCACTGACATGTCACGATTCCTTCCCTGCAGCATGTCTGGGATGATCTCGGGCAGCCCCAACCCCCTGGGCACCCCTGGCACCAGCCCCCCTCAGAACGACCTGGCCAGCCTCATCCAGGCGTGAGTGCACCCGCTCTGGGGGCGGGGTGGGAGAAGGGCAGGAAGGACAGCGGACGGGATGCGGCCCCTCCCCAGTGCGTCTGTGCTGGGTTCACAGGCCTTCGGGGTTGTTAGAGGACAGAGGTTTGACCACGAGACAGCAGTGTTGCACCAGCTATTTTGAGGGGTTCCTGCAGTGACAGCCACCTGCAGGGTGTGGACCCCCGTGGTGGGAGGTCTGCCAGAGGCAAGGGGAGGAGGGTCAGGAAACCCCTGGGGAAGGGGGGGGAGGGGCTTCTGCACCTAGAGGGGTCCTCCTGCGGCACCGAGGGGGCCTGTGGGTCCCAGAGCCCCGCGGGCGGCAGCACCTCATTGTCGTTGTGTGCCGTCAATTCCAACTCCTCGTGACCCCGCGGAGCCCTGGTGGCGCAGTGGTTAAGAGCTCGGCTGCTCACCAAAAGGTCGGCAGTTCGAATCCACCAGCCGCTCCCTGGAAACCCTGTGGGGCGGTTCTGCTCTGAATCAGAATGTCCTCAGCAGCAGGTTTGGGCCTGGGTGTTAGTGACCCCATGGGACGGCGTATACAGGGTTTTCTCGGTTTGGACCTTTACGGAAGCAGATGGTCGGGTTTTGCTTCCGTGGAGCCGCTGGGTGGGTTCCAACTGATGACCTTTGGGTTAGTAGCCAAGCGCTTATGCCTTGAGCCACCGGGGCCCCCAGCAGCACCGTAGGTCCTTGTAACTGCAGGGCTGTATTTTACTGAGGACAAGTTTTACAGGGTATCCAAAGCAGGTATGCCCTGAGTGGCTAAGAGGCCGCTTGTTTGGGCGATCTGTAACACAGTTGGACGTGTACAGGTTTGAGTTGGCAGCGGCGCGCTTGCCGGCTGATGAGCCTGGGCTGAGAAAAGGGAGGAAGTCAGCAACCCGGGCCGGCGCACGCAGGGCGTCTCCGGCCTGCGTATACAGCAGCGGTGTCCACCTGGTGTCCTGCAGGGCGGGGTCACAGCTGCCTGCTGGGGAGCCAGGTGGGGGCACAGAATGTGTGCTGAGTTGGGGGAGGGAGGAAGCAAGCGGCAGGCGGCAGGCGGCAGCCGCCCCCGCCAACTCGGCCGCGCCCCCAACAGGGGCCAGCAGTTCGCACAGCAGATGCAGCAGCAGAATCCGGAGTTGATAGAGCAGCTCCGGAGTCAGATCCGGAGTCGGACCCCCAGTGCCAGCAACGACGACCAGCAGGAGTGACCACCGAGTGAGTGATGGGCCGGGGCGGGGGGCGGGCGGGGCGGCACGGTCAGGCGGCTTCACCCACATCACCCGCCCAGCAGGCCGTGGGCACCTCAGGCCCCAGAGCATGCCTTTCCCAGTGTCTCCCAGAGGCATCCCCTGAACCTGTCTCCCGGCCCCCTCCCACTTCGCATGGTAGATCGGGGCCACCGCTGTGTACAAACCAGGGCTGTGGATAAGTCAGGGTTGAAACCCCGTCCGTGCAGGGGGGGCGGCTGCAGAACACTCCCTGGTGCCGCGTGGAAAACGCTGGGGAGCTGCCAAGGAGGTGAGGGAGCATCGCCTGGGCCGGGGCAGGGCCTGGCTGCCCTCCCCTTCACACCCCACTCTGGCCTGAATTGGGTGTTTAGACTGGGAACAGGCCTTGCGTTCTCGGCGGCTTAAAATCACACCTGGGCGTCCGGCCACTCACTGCTGACCTGGTGAGCTGCCTCCCCAGAGGTACCACGACCTCGGTGTTTTCCCTCTGTGGGGGCGAGCTCCCGGTCTCCCGCTGGGGTGCCTTTCCTCCCCAGACGGTAGTTACTTCCGCTGCGGTATCTCCTGTCTTTATGTTTGTCCATACACACACACACGGTTTCTCTTTTTAACTTTCCATGCTTTTTATAGAAAAACTGCAAAGTGCAAAAACAAACAAAATCAGCCTCAATTTTTCCACCCAGACCAACTGCTGTGAACACTTAGGACATTTTTCATTTTTTCCTTGAGCAGAGTTTTTTGTTTTTTGAACTCTTAACGTAACTGAGAACACCAGCGCTGCCCACCAGAACTCTCTGCGATGACGCGGCTGTTCTGTGCCTGCGCCGTCCAGCAACACAGCCACGTGTGGCCATTGAGAACTGGAGATGTGGCCTGTGGCACCGAGGAGCTAAGGCTCATTTGGACACAAGGCTGGCAGCTCCCTGATCAGACAGCTTAAAAAAAAAAGCCCCTTGCCGTGAAGTTGACTCCAACCCATAGTGCCCCCGTCGTGTCGGAGTAGGACTGTGCTCCCTGGGGTTTTCTTTTTTGTCGTTGTTGAGAATGTCCACAGCAGAACATACTCCATCTCAACAGTTTCTCCATGGACAATTCAGTGACGTGATTACATTCTTCAAGTTGTGCAACCGTCCTCAGCCTCCTTTTCCGAGTTGTTCCTCCCCCATTAACATAATCTCACTGCTCCCTGAGGTTCCTATCTAATCGTTCAAGTTGCTGTTGTTAATTTGATCCCACAGAGAGAGATCTAAAAGGGCACAGTGCTCAAGGCAGACGTTCCTTACTAGGTAAGCGCGTCTGTCGTTTGGTTTAAAGATGATTTCAGGGGATAGTGTTAGCTTAAGGTTTAAAGATTATCTCAGGGCAGTAGTTTCAGGGTTTCATCCAGCCTCTATGGCTCCAGAAAGTCTAGACTCCATGAGAATTTGAAATTCTGTTTTGCATTTTCCCCCTTTGTTCTGTGGAATCTTTGATCAAAATGTTCAGTAAAGGTAGCTGGGCACCATCCAGTTCTTCTGGTCTCATGGCAGTTCATGGACGCAATTAGTAGCCAGACATTCCGTATCCTCCTCCTATTTCTGACCTCCATAGGGTTGTCAGTGGCTGAGTTTTTGAGAGTAGATTGCCAGGCCTTTATTCTGAGGTGCCTTTGGATGTACTCGACCCTCCAACCTTTTGGTTAGCAGCCGAGCGCGTTAACCGTTCGCACCTTCTCCCTTGTTTCTGGAAGGTTTGCATTTGTTCTCTGTTTCCTGCCAGTGTGACAGCTCGCCTCGGTCCTGACTGCATTTGTGTCTTCTGCCCACAGCTGCCCTAGCGAGAATCACATCCGTCCATCCGCAGACTGGGCGCTGCCTCATGTTCTGCCATTTTCTCCAGTTCGGCTGCCCAAGAGAGAAAAAGAAAAAATTGGACTTGCATGTTCCGACGAATTTTTATGTTCCTCCTCGCCCCTCCTTTTTGTACACCCCCCGTCCCCCTGGCCCCCAGATCCTTTTCAGAAGAAAAGAGCCAGCCAGCTGTGACCACAAACCAGCAACCATCTTCCCCCAGGCCCCAGAAAGCCCAGTCGATAAAGTATTTTCTAGAATCTTGGGGCTGGGGGTTGGTCCTCCGGCCGCTGGCCACCAAGTGGCAGGTTTTATGTTCGAAACACCACGGACACCGTCCTCCGGGGAGTCTTTTGTAGCCCCCGCCCTGCCCCTCAGTCTTTTTGTAAGCCCTTTCCTGCCTTGCTTAGAAGCCCCTTCCAGCCAACACCTGAGTCCCTGTTGGGAAGAGCTAACTGCCAGCCGCCGTCCGGGCACCGGCGTTCTGCCCGCGTCACTGGACCGTGCGTTTTTGCGTGAACGAGGACGCTCTGTTGTCGGGGACTGAGAGGCTCTGTGTGTCTCCCGAGCCTCTTGGAGTGCCCAGGACCACGTTCTGTGACTTTTCTTCCAGTGGAGCATTTCGATAGATGCCTGTTGGATCTCCTTACTCCAGTCCTCCCTGCAGAATGCTGGGGACAGGGTCACGGCCAGAGGCTGGGCCCGCTCCTTGTTAGCCCCTGGGAGCGGGAGCCTGTCCTGACTTCTCTGTGTCCTGGCTCAGCTTCCTGCCCACAGGCAGTGAGTGGGCCCTGAGGCCCCACATCTGAGTGCCCGGGGGCCTCCATGTGTTCCCCCTTCTGTTCAGAGGGGCTGGCGGGTGCCGCCCACCTCGGCTCTGAGCCGCTTCCAGAAAGAGAAGGAGCAGGGCAGCTGCCTAGACAGCTTGGCAGCACTGGTGGCCTCCGTGTGGCGGGGGACCAGAGGGGGAGCCGCTGGCCACTGTGCCATTCACACTTCGGGCAAGTCACGCTGCCCTGCCCTGAACAAAACCGTTGGCAACGGGAGGCTCAGTGGGAGCCTGTCGGCAAGGTGTGTGTTCCAGATAACAAGTAGGAAGGAGGCCGCCATCAGCCCCTGTAGTCCGTGCCTCAGGCAGGATGTGGGGAGGAGCGTGACGTGTGGAAATAAATAGACGTCGTGACCTTGACACCTGTCTCCCTGTGGCTCTGTCGGCAGCACCACTCCCCTTCCTGCCCTAGAATCCTGAAAACCCCCAGCCCAGGGCCTCTGGGTCAGCCAGGCTCACACAGGTTACGAACCAGTGATGTCCATGCTTGAAACAACACGGCTCCAAGCTCTTCCTGTGGCAGAGCTCCCTTGGGGTGGCAGAACAGTGATGGAGCGAGCAAATGAGCCTTGGAGCACCTTCTGTATTCCCTCCCTCACCCACCGTCCCCGGTCACCTCTCCCATGTCACAGGTTACTCCAGGGGTCGAGCTAGAGCCCGGGTGTTGGGTGGCGGGTGGTAGGATGATGGTGCTCTAGAATTACTCTCCGTGCGCGCTGGTCATGAGGTGCCGTCGAGTGGGCTCCAGCTGGTGGCGACCTTCTGTGCAGCAGAACCAACGCCGCCCAGTCCTGTGCTGTCCTCACGTCATTGGTGTGTGGAGGCCGTCGTCACGGCAGTTGTGTTGGTCCCGCCCATGGGGGGTCTCCCTCGTGTTCACTGACCTCCACTTTACCAAACATGATGCCCTTTTCTAGAGATTGGTCCTTCCTGATGACGCGTCTACAGTAAGTGAGCCCGAGTTGGCATCCTCGCTCCTAAGGGCGTCCTGGTTGTGGCTCTGAGGCGGACGTATCGTTCTTCTGGCCGTCCCCAGCGTATGCAGTGCCCTTGGCCGGCCCCGCAATTAGCGTGCATCGGTTCTTTGGACTTCCTTTTCCATCTTCCAACTTGCTCGTGCCTGTGAGGTGACTGAAGATACCACGGCTTAGGTCAGGTGCAATTAGTCATCAGAGTGACATCTTTGCTTTTTAACACTTTAAACAGGATGTGTAAACGAATGGTCGTACATTTGTCTCTTCTGTAACTGGAAGAGCCTCCCACCTAGAGTCAGCTCCGGGTGAGAGACGTGGTCCGCGAAGGGGCTCCCAGGCGGGAGAGTCTAAGAACCTTCCAGCCTCGTCTCGGCCCAGTCCTGCGGTGCCGTGTTGGGCGTTGTAATGGGCATAGACAGCACCCAGTAGATGTTATTAAATGCTACACATGGACCATCTCATCTTTACAACAAGCTTGTGGGCGTTCCACTGTCCCCATTTTACAGGCAAAAGGACTGAGGCTTCCACTGGCTCAGTCTCCCAGCCACTGAGTGTCAGCCTGGTTCAAGGCCGACCACGGGGTCTGTGCGGGAAGTGGCCGCCTCCCTCAGATGTCTGCTCCATTGCCCGGCCCCCTCCACCGCTCCCTTCAGAAAACACGAAGATGAACCGCGCTGCCCGCTTGGACACTTGGTCTCGTGTGGAAGGTGGGGCAGGGTCTAAGGCGAGGCCTGGACCTTCTTAGAGGGGCGGGTTCCCTAGGTCTAAAGGCAGGGGTCTTCACCTGGGTGATTCTGTCCTAGGGGACACTCGGCCATGTGAGGACACTTGTGGGTGTGATGATGGGGGGAGGGCGCTACTGGCATCGAGTGGGTGGAGGCCAAGGATGCTGCTCAACACCCTGCAGTGCACATGATGGCCCCACCCCCGGAATGACCCAGCCCCCGTGTCATGGTGCCGATGGAGGAGACCCTGCATTAATTATTTGGGAAAAAAACGTTTGATCCCTGCTGATACCACACCCCAGGATAAATTCCCAACCAGCCAGATGGTGTGAACCCGGGGGGCCCTCCAGCTCCTGTGATTCCCCTCCTCTCTCCGCCCCACTCAGCGTGTGGACTTAAATGGACGCAGCATCCTAGGACGTCAGGAGGTCAGATGATTATGGGATGCAGAGTCTTTGTGGGGGGACAATGGGATCCCCTAATCCAGGGATCCTCACCAGGGGGCAGTTCTACCCCTGCAGGGGAACTGGGCGATGTCTGGGGACACTTGTGGTTGTTATGACTGTGAGGGTGCTACTGGCATCGAGTGGATGAGACCAGGGATGCTGCTCAATACCGCACA